TAGTTTGAGCTCATTTTGTGCCTTTGCCTTTCTAATCTTGCCCCTGCATTCCTGTGTTGTTTGCCTATATTCATCCTTTGTAATCTGTCCTAGTTTCCATTTTTTATATGACTCCTTTTTTTAGATCATGTAAGATCTCGTGGTTAAGCCAAGGTGGTCTTTTGCCACATTTTCTATCTTTCCTAACCAGCGGAATAGCTTGCTTTTGGGCCCTTAATAGTGTCCCTTTGAAAAACTGCCAACTCTCCTCACTTCTTTTTCCCCTCAGTCTTGATTCCCATGGGATCTTACCTATCAGCTCTCTGAGCTTACCAAAATCCGCCTTCCTGAAATCCATTGTCTCTATTTTGCTGTACTCCCTTCTACCCTTCCTTAGAATTTCAAACGTTATGATTTCATGATCACTTTCACCCAAGCTGCCTTCTACTTTCAAATTCACAATGAGTTCCTCCCTATTTGTTAAAATCAAGTCTAGAACAGCTTCCCCCTTTGTAGCCTTTTCAACCTTCTGAAATAAAAAGTTGTCTGTAATGCAGTCCAAGAATTTGGTGGATAGTCTGTGCCCCGCTGTGTTATTTCCCCAACATATGTTTGGATAGTTGAAGTCCCCCATCACTACCAAATCTTGGGCTTTGGATGATTTTGTTAGTTGTAAGATGGGGTAAGCGGGGTGCAGGAGCAGGGGGGAGAGGGACAACCTGATATTAGCCCCCCTCTTCCCTCCCTGCCCACCCCCCGCACAGCAAGCAAGAGGTTGGCAGGAGCAGCACATGGCAGTGGTGGGGGGGGAGGGACAGTTGCAATTGCTAGCCTGCTGGGCAGCTGCTGCACAGGGAACTTAGGGGAGCGGGGAGCTGATAGGGGGAGCTTATAGGGGGCTGCTGGTCCACCCTGGTTCCAAGCCCCCACCAGCTAGCTGCAACAGGCTGCTCTTCCTGCAAGCAGTAGACAAAGCAGGTGGCTGCCAAACGATGTTAGAAGGGAGCATTGCGCAACTTTAAACGAGCATGTTCCCTAATTGATCAGCAACGTTACAACGAAACAACGTTAACCAGGATGACTTTAAGTGAGGAGTTACTGTACATTAATGCTCATATCACAGCAATAGACTTATTATAAATACCTGTAGAAGACAGAACTTGGAACTTTGTATTCCTTGGAAACAAGAGACTGGTGTCAATACTAGCTATAAACCAGATGCTACAGTGACAACTGCCATATAAGAATCTAGACATATTATCCCTCAAACATCTGCATGCCTTCTTCCATGACATCCCCTATGCTGGGAATGTCCTCCAGGGACTGATCCATAAAAAAATGCTACCCTCGCTCTCTATGACGCCTACAAGAAATCAGCCAATCTATTACGGATAGGCGCAAAAAATATATGTTGAAAGGTTAACAGTAGATAAAATCTTTATGTACTTTGATATTTTCTCTCTCCTTCAGTTTTATGTGTCTTCTGAGGTAATAAGGCCTTCAGTGCAGATACTGTTTCTACCAGAGTTTGTATAGTGCTAACAATGAGGCTCCAATCCTACCTAGGGCCCCTGAGCACCACCATAATATAACCAACAAAAACTAGATTCGGTTTAGATTAGAAAGGAGGACGCTATGCAGAGCAAATTTGAACTCGGGTCTCCACGGAATCTCAATATCTTTCTGGTTTCTGAGAATCAGTACAATATGTCCAATAGTCTTATTCCATTCAGTAAGTACAGGAGTTCCTGACTCAAACAAACAAAACCTCAGGCAACTACTCAAAATTTCAAGGTAGCATCCAAAAAATGGCATTTGTTTTGTGACCCTGCTCACTGCAAATCCATTTATCCTGTAGACTTATGTGGAATTAGTGAAAATACATTTGGAGAGCATGCTCTCAAACTGTCAGAATAAGGATCCCTGCTAAAAGAAAGCCCCACACATCTGAGCTTAACACAGCTGGGAAAGTTCAAAGTCTCAGATTTATTTCATCTCAATTCTTGCTTTTCCTCCAGGAATCCCTATTATGATTAGAGATGAGTAAGCCAGCTGGGACCTTTGCTCATTCCACATACTCAACCTATACCCTATCTAAAGTTTGAAAATATATATATTTTATATATTTATTTTATATTTTCCACCTTCTTCCCTTGCAAGCTTCAGCTAGGAATTGGAAATACAGAAATACTACCACCAACCTGGCCAAAAGCGGGGAATACTGGAAAACTCATGAGAAAGCCTTTTCATAGGATACTTTTTTCTGCCCTAATATTTGTGCGCTTATCCCAACCCTACACCTAAACATTATGATCCATCACCACCTCTCCAATTTCTCTACAGCTCCTTCTGTCTCTGTCCCCTCCTCCTCTTGATACTATGTTCTCCACCTTCAACTACACTCCTACCCTCAGCATCTTTCTACACTCTGGCTAGCCCATCAATTATCTCTACCCTGTTGCATCAGTTTCCCTCTGCTACTGGGCTGCCAAGCACCTTTGAACTAAATCCACAGAGACCACATGAACTCTCCAAACTTCTCCTTGCTAAACTAGGTAACTTTACCCCCACCGAAATGTTTCCTGATCTCCATCTCGCTGCACTTAGTCACCATTCTCCACACAACACTATTCACTGAAGTATCACACACTTAGGGCTTGTCTACACTGCCCCACAGTTCAGACTAAAAGGGTGTGAATACTACTCCAAACCGAAGTGCTGTACTGTAACTACCCTGTATGGATACCGAGGATGCAAACTAAAGAGTCCCTAGTTCATGTTAACATAGTCCTCTTCAAAGAGGACTTTATTAATGCAAACTAGGAACATTTTAGTTTGCGCCTGTAGCATCCGCATGGGGCAGGTACCGCACAGCACTTAGATGCACGCTGCTATTCACCCCTCCAAAGTCCAAACTGCAGGGCAGTGTAGACATAGCCGCAGATTTTGATAGGAGGTGGCCACAACTCCAGCTTCACACAGGTTTCTCTCTCTTCTATTTGTTCTCCATTTTTTAAATTCAAGTCTATGGATAGCAATTTATTAAAATACATTCCCAATTGCTGCTTCTATTCCACATATGAATTATCCTCTGCATGAAGTTTTCGCTGCATTCCCTTAGTACTTAGCCCTTTCTTAAATGCTGATTTTAATCCCATTATTTCAACATTTCAATGTCCTTTATTTCATCTTTTCTGGTTACTATAAACCTATTTTTCCTTGGCTCTCCTTAGAGTTCAAACTTCTTTTTATACTGGCACCATGCTATAAAAATGTCACAGTACCATGTATATGGATTTTAATTATCGCCAGGTGCAAATGTTTTAACAATGGCTACTGTGCAAGGATTTCAATGGCTCTTCATCTCAACACTGAAGACCATCTGTACAACTAACAATGTTTTTTGGTAAATTGCGGAAACAAACTGTAACAAAACAAACCTGACCTTGAAAACCCAGAGCAAACATGAACACTCCTGCCACAGGGACAGACATTCCAACTCAGGAGTTAAGATGTCTGACAAACTTTCATCCCATGTCCTTTTAAAGATATTGTACTTTTGTGGCTGACCCAATACTTCTAAACTATAGATCACATTAAAAAATAGCATTATATATAGGCTTGTCAAAAATTGGTTTTTATTTTTGTATAATGTTGACGGATAACATCAATGTTTATTTTTAAGCATTTTTATTTTTATTAATTTAAATTTTCACAGTTGTAAAGTAGGCAGGGATCAGACAATAGGAGGGTTAGACAATTATTTAGGACAGTGGGGACAGATTCAAATAGTTAAAGCTTTATAAGGTTAAAACACAAACTGTCCACTTTACAAAGTAAATACCCCTTATGTCAAACTAATATTAAAAGTTTTCAAGAAGCATTTTTCTTATTTTGATTTTCTGTACATTTTGATCATCATTAATAGAAATATTTTTTCCTTGGTTTGTGTGTGTATGGAGAAAATTGACATCTACCGACATTTATCGATAAAAGTCTAATCTTTCCTAACCTAATTACATGTAGCAATAAAAATAACTAATTTGTTCCAAGCACACCAAATAATTGATTAGGTTCATTCTCTACTGTAACCCTTAAACCTCTCCTTTGCCTGTATGATATCTAATTTATAATGTAAGCTCCTTGTAGCAGGGCCCTTTGAACTAGTCTGAAAAGCATCATGTGGTGCTGCAGAAATAATAAAATTAACTGACTCATCACTAGCAAGATGGGATACTCCTTATGTGTCTATCTAGAGTCTTACATGGCCCTCATTTGCTATAGGATACCAGCATCTCAAACATGCTGTTTGTATGAAGGTAGTGACTAGAGGTGCCATTGTGCTATGCAGACAGCACCTGCCCTGAACAGCTGGCACTCTACATAAACAAAGGATGGGAATGGAAACAGGCACAAAGAGGAGAAGTGACTTGCTCAAAGTCACACAGCAGGAGTGGCCAAGCTCGGAACATCAAGTCCAGTGCCCTACCCACTAGATCAAGCTGCCTCTCCACATCAATGGATTCATCATAACAAACACTCTCCAACCTGTAAGGCACATGAATATTACCATCCCAAATTTGCAGATGGGGAACTGAGGCACAGAGATTAAAGGACTTGCTCAAGGTCAATCAAGAAGACTGTGGCACAACCAGGAATTGAACCTTCCTTTATAGTACTTCAGACCAGTGCCTTAAAACACAAGTCCATCTCTCTCTCTCCTTGGAAACAGCTTGTGTCTGCAAGAGGGTGGTGGCGGTGCAGTACAACAGCAGTGTAGAGCACAGTTTCAAGATGTCATTTATTTCAGAAAATGTGTAGTAATTTTAATAGAAGCGGAGAGACTTCAGTCGTTAGACTAGCATGGATCTAAACAAACCGTCAATGAAGAGGTTCTGTATATGTGCACAGTTTAGAAAAGACTATGGACAACTTGTTTGGAAATGGCTCTTCTCCAGTCCCCTCCCGTCCCCATTCCCACCCACCCCACTATCAAAATGTTACAAGGAAAAGCCACTCACTCTGTAAGCAATCAGCATTGAGCAGGTCTTGGCACTTCTCATGACATTTGACCCCACATTCAGTGCAGCGCATACCCTGCCTTGCAATGCCCCATAGGAGCCCTTCACACTCGTAGCAATACGTAGGGGTTGTAGCTGTCCACACCTCAAAATTGTGAGGGGTTGTGCAGGAGATAGGATAAATTAAGGCTTGCAGGGTCTTCTTATATACATGAGATTTCTGCAATACAAGAACACACACGAAGCAATGTCTGTGATTGGGATGCTGTTAACATGCACTGTTTGGCAAGAGAGTTATCCTGGGATAATGCGACTGTTTTCTTTAGGGAATGTATCATTTTTCTTGAATGAAAAAGAGAAAGGGTGAAGATTAAATCATCAACACTTGTCACGTCATGCCAGATGGAGCCATGACTGAGGTAGCCAAGCATGCTAAACCTAGGACCTTGTAGAAATGATGTGCAGAAAACACCATTTCAAAATCAGTTTTTACAGTTACTTTAAATAAACCATAACCAATGGCATTCAGAGAGCAAAGAAGTCAGGTCTGTGTGTAATAGCACACTACATAACCAAGTTCTACTCAGCATATCTTAGTTCATAAATCAGACCCTTACGCACTATTCTAAGGTTCTATCTGGGATATCATATTTGCCACACATTTTAAAAAAAACAAGTAATACAGGTTGCTTTACACCTATACTCCTAGTCTGAGTCCTGCAATGCTCACTTGATTCTCCAAGAAGAATATGAATATTCACAGAACCAGCCCCATCCGCCCCCCCCCCCCATTAATTTGTTTAGGAAAGACCCCGGGGAGCAAATAAACTCTACTTACCAGCTCCTCATCCTTAAGAGAAGTTCTAGTGGCCATTGCTGAGGTAATTCCAGCCTTCCTGGATTGAACCAGTGACTGAGAAGGGAAAGTGTCTGTTATTCATTACAAAAGTGTACACACATTCACTGGAGGTCACGTACTTGTACATGCACAAAAGGGAAGACGCTGTCACCAGCAAAGGTACTGAACAGAAAGTCTACACAAGTCAACACCCTCTGCTACATTTTCCAAATGGTAATCTCCTTGCCCCAGAAAGAGTCAGGGTGTGTACTTTAAAAACATAAATCTAGTTAACTATGTATGTTTCCTTCTGCCCCAATCCACTTTGTTCTGGAGTGAGTTTTACTATTTCCCCCTGTATGAAGTGTAGATAAAACTGGATTCTCTCCTGCATCCTTAAAACAGACAAGGTTTATAAAGTGTTCTAAACTCATGCTCCACCTCCTACATTCAAGTTCACGCATAGATAAAGGAGATCAAATTATCAGCCATGTCACCTAGAAAGAGCTCCAAACAGGGATGGCTGGATTGGGACAGAATGAGGAGGGTAAACTAAAATCTTGGGAGGATTTTATGGGGTTGGAAGGGCAGCATGTGTTTGAATGTGTCTGTGTGTCACATTCAGTGGCCATCCCCAAATATAATGAACATCACTGCTTCTCAAAGTAGCTACCTTCACATTGCGTATGATGGAGGGACTGCAATCTTAAATTTCTTAGGTTGCTGTTTTTTCAGCACCTGCCACTGGCATCTAACCAATATCTAAAAGGCTAGAAAGCAGATTAGGTCCTTCAGCAAGCTACTCCAGCTGTAGGAAGGCAGATAAGGAAATGAGAGAAGACGTTACTGATTCTTATAAAGCTAGCTAACCCCCTCAGGAGGGATCTCTTACTCTGATTTATGACGCTTGAGACAAGACTGAAAAGGTTCATTCAGTCAGTGATGTGGTGGGCCAGAGTGTGGCATATGCATGTATTGTGGTACGGCAGAATTCAAAATAAAAAAGCAAAAACAGTGGAGGGGAAGTAAAGTAAAAAAATCTTTACTTCGGGTAAAGACGTGGTGGACAGTTTTTAGCTCCACTTACCATAGCCTGTAGAGAGAGTGAAAGCATACAAAAGAAGTATAATAGGTTAATTCCATTATTACTAAGTTTCCAGGTATACAAGCAGTTAGTAAAACATACCCTCCTAGGCTCTGCATGTGTCAGATGACAGATGTACAAACCAAATTCTCTATCTTTACCTAGAATACATTTAGATATCAGTGTATGGAGGTTAGAGATTTCGCAACTTCTCCCAAGTGTTAATGTATTAGCTGTACCTGATACAATATTCAACACTATCCATAAAAGTTACACTCATCTGACATGCCATCAGTATAAGAAAGCCAGCTGACCTCCCTGTTTGTATGGTTTCTAGAGGAACATTTAACAGTGTGTAAACAGGTTTCAGTGATGGGAAGAATTTTTAACATTCAAGTTGCATGACAATTCCGGTGTACAGACACTAAGATACGGTAGGCAGATTTATTTCTCTCTAACATTCTTAGCACCTAGTATTTTTCTGAAACATCAGTATAGACATTAACATTTTCTACTATAGTTTGGAGATAAATTGACTGGAGTCATAAACGGTATTGCACCCCAAGACACAAAGTGACCACAGCAATTATTATATTTATAGAAAAGAAAAATCTTACCAAATCACTGACAAGTGGAATTGGTTTCTTTTTACGTAGATCAGGCATGCTGTCAATGCCATAGAGACCACCTGCAGGCCTGGAAGTGCAGGGGGGAAAAGTGTTAATAAGGTCACAGAAATGGCACAGTAGGATACTGTCACAAACCATCCTGTAGAAACCAAACATGGCCTCCTGCAAATATTGATCACTCTGCTAATAAAGTAATCAATGTAAACAGAAGGAATCAATCTTGACACATCGAGTCCAGCCCCCTGCCTTCACTAGCAGGATCAAGTACTGATTTTGCCCCAGATCCCCAAGTGGCCCCCTCAAGGATTGAATTCACAACCCTGGGTTTAGCAGGCCAATGCTCAAACCACTGAGCTATCCCTCCCCCGATGAAGGATTAATACACTGAAATGTGACTCAGTAACAAATAGAAAATGTTAAACACTACAATGAATAACCTTGTCAATTCTGAATGCTGAGCAGCACTCTTTTGGTATAGCTGCATCCACAATTTATTGCTGGTATTTTGAGCTTCATGTCATAAAATTCCTTGGAGGTTTGGAAACCATGCTGACCTCCTTCTTATCCCCTCTCCTCACCCCTCTCCACCCTCCAATGAAATCAGTTTTGATCTCTTCTTCAGAAAAAATCTCAAGTATTGATAGAGGAAATGCCAGAAGTTATCACACAAAATTGTGGCAGCAACACTTCAAACTCTAGACAGACACACTCCGTTTACTGTAACTCCAGCCTCCTGTCATTTTTTGTGTATCCACCGGTATTCAGGAATTCAGAACACTGCTATAGTATGAGAGAGAGAGGTGGGAAAGTGTCAAAGGGAGAATGACCAGCCTAAAGGTCATATCCTACTGTCATTCACATCAGTGCAGAACGTAAGTCCTGGGCCTCAGGCCTTTAGGATTTTCGGGGGAAATTCCATATTTTGGGGAAAAGGAGAAAGCATTTCTCTAGCTTTTTTATGTTTATGATGCCAAGGCTATTTCTAATATTCCAAACCTCGGGGCAAGGATGGATTTCATCACCAAGGACTATCACTAAGCTGGCAGGTAGAGGCATGAAGATTCATAGACAAGAGGAATACAATTGCTGCAATATGATAAAATAATATTCATTTTACAGCATCCAGAAGAGATGCAATAATTTTTTTTAAATCAAAAACTTAAGAGTCTCCTCTCCAAAAATAAAGTTTGATAGCTTTTAGTATACTTTCTTTTCCATGCACGTTACCTGACAATTGCAGGATTCTTGTAACAGAAACAATCATTGCCTTTAAATCTCAAACATTTTCCATATAAAGAGAGAGAGAGAGAGAGAGAGAGAGAGATTTTAAAACATTATAGATTCCCACACTGAAGTGCCAACCATTCGTTAGTAAAGTGGGCAGTGGAGTGAATGGCTGCGTTCTTTCCATGGAAACCAGAGTCATTTCCTTGGCAACACTTACAGTGTGTAGTATTAACTGGTACAGTTGGTTTTCCTTGGTGAAGAAAACAAATCGCAATACTCCTATTAAGTGAGGACATTGGCAAATGTAGGTTTGAGCTCACAGTGGCTTGTCACTGGTGGTTAAGTGCCTAACTAAACCCACTGCATGCATTCACACAACACCAGGTGGAAGGCAATGTGCCAACTACAACAGCTGCAGAGCACTAGATGTGAACAAATGGGCTTTCCTTTAATATCCCTGGGGTTACACTACACGTAAACTAAAACCAGAACTTTTCAAGCCAACACCCTGATTTCCTCCAGAAAAGAGGGATGGCCCGCCATGACAGAGCCTCCATGGGCGCTTCCAAGTCTCTCTTTTGAATGAGCTGAAAACTCCACAGCCATGCTACACAGGAGCCTTTTCCTTCAAAATTTCCCACCACTGCACTACCACTATTCTCTGAGATTACAGATTTGGCTGATAGTAATAACTCTGTAGATGTAACAGACTTAGATTTTTGTAAGGCATTTCACTGACTACTGCAGAGCATTCTTATTTTAAAATGTGCATTATGCAGCATCAATGCAGCACACCTCAAGTGGATTAAAAACTGGCTGACAGATCTCAAAAAGTGGTTGTCAATGGAGAATGATCATCAAATGTGAATGTTTCTAGTGGAGTCCCACAGGGTATGGTACTAGACCAAATGCTATTAAACGTTTTCAGCAATGATCTGGAAATCACTACTGGTAACATTTCTGAATGACAGATTGGTGGAGTGGTTAGAACTGATTATACTGAGGACAGGGCAGTCATACAGAGTGATTGGGCTTGCTTGGTAAACTGGGCTCATTCAAACAAAAGGTGTCTTAACACAGCCAAATGCAAAAAGTTAAACAACAAGAAATGTAGGCCATACTTACAGAATGGCGGACTATATCCTGGAAACCAGAGACATTGAAAGGATGTTATTTTACCTCTGTGTACTGCATTGGTGAGACCAATACTAGAATACTGTGTACATTTCCAGTGTCCAAATTTTGAAAAGGATGTTGAAAAGTTGGAGAGGGCACAGAAAAGAGCCATAAAAATTGTTAAGAGGGCTGGAGAAAATGCCTTTCCGTGAGAGACTAAAGGATCTCTACTTATTTAGCTTATCAAAAAGAAGACAGAGGTGACAATCACTACCAGTAACTAAATACTCAGGGAATAGAAATTTGATAACAGAAGACTTTTCGATCTAGCAGAGAAAGGCATAACAAAATTCAATAACTCGAAGTTGAAGCTAGACAAATTCAGACCGGAAATAAGGTTAAATTTTTTAAGTGAGGTTAATTAGCCATTAGAACAATTCACCAAGAGTTGTGCTGGATTCTCTATCACTAGAAATCTTTAAATCAAGATTACAAGTTTTTCTAAAAAGATCTGCTCTAGTTCAAACAGGAATAAAGGGAAGTTCTACAGACTCCTGAAACAGGTACAGTAGTCTGGAAAGGTTGAGACACACTGATCAAAATGACATTACAGCAAACGAGATGAGTTGATGTACCTCCTGGAAGACCTCTGCATACCCCCAGGGATATATGTATCCCTGGTTTAAGAACCACCGGTTTTGATGATCTACAGCTAACCAAAGTTCACCTCTCTCACACAATCTTAACTTTGTCAGCCTGTTTGGTCGTTTACGTGAACTATGATGGTGCCAGACAGCAAGCACATGTCTCAGTCCCAGGCCCAGAGCTACAAGGGCTTACAAGTGAACTGCTGCCAATACCCTGCCACCAGAGGCTACGCTCACTGACTCAGCAGGGTCAGATGACTAGCAGCAAACTGATGACTGGACACCACTGGGTATAAAGCTTCCTCTTCCAGTACTATCCCTTGTTTGAGCAAATAGTCACTAGGCCACTTGCTGCCCAGACCTCTGAGACCAAGTCCCTGCCTCCTGCTATCTTGCCTTGTTCCCGCTACCACACCTTGTCCCTGTTCCAGTTGCCTACACCTTGTTCCTGGTTTCTGCTTCTTTGCCCTGATCCCAGTTGCTGACTCCAGCTTTGACCCTTGGTATGACCTCTGACTCAGACTTTGCTTCTTGGTGTAACCACGACCCCGACACTACTCAAGGCTCCAACCACTGGATCAGACTGTGCATCTTATGGGCCGTGACAACTTGCTCGGATCAACCTCAGTCTCCTCCAGGACTCGTTGTTGAACCCCTGGTGTGAGTATGGACACCACCAGGGCTCCTGCCCCATCGTCACCCCAGGGGCCTGTGAATTGGCAGCAGCAGATCACTGCCCTCTAGGCAGAAAACTAGAAACTGCAGGACCAAGTAGGACATCTGCAGATGAGAAATCGTTCCTAGCAGCAGCAAGCTACAGTACTCGGAGCAATTGTAGGTACCCACTCGGCTTCTTTTACAACACCGGCTCGGATAACCGGCCCCAGAGTGCCTCTGTTGGAGAGGCATGATGGGACCTGCAGTAAGTTTTGCAGGTTCATTACCCAACGCAGACTCCAGTTTATGCGCCAGTCCAAAAATGTGTCCACAGATCAAGTTAAAGTGGAGGCTAGTATAGAGTGAGGACGGCCCTGGCCTGGGCCTCTTCTTTTTAAGAGCAGAATCACTCAGTACTAACCAACGGGGAGTCATTCTTACAAGCGTTTGCCAGTATTTTCAATGACCCTCACAAAGCCCACACGGCAGAGACTGCCTTACGAAAGTTCAAAAAAAACAAAAAACCTAGGGTCAGGCCCTTCCTATGTTGCCCAGTACAGATGTTTGGCTGTAGATGCCACTTGGAACAGTGCCGCTATCCTCCATCCATTTCAGCTTGGCCTTTGTGAAGAACTAAAAGACAAGCTGGCACAGGCGGACCCCCTTCTCCACCAGGTTAGAGGCTTTCGTGGGCCTGTGCATCCGGATAGACATCAGACTGCACGAATAGCAACTGGAACGTAGGAGGAGCCCTCCGACCTCCCGCACTTACCTAAGGCTCAGCCCTCAGCACCAAGGGAGCTTGCCTTGGTCAAGTCCTTGCCAACTGACATGGGACGGCCCCGCCTATCGCTGGGTGAACAAGAGCGCAGAAGACAGGAGAACCCCTGCCTCTATTGGGGAGGAGCAGGGCATACAGTAGCCAAGTGTCCTGTCAAAAAACGTGCTAACCTGATGACAGGGAAGAGACTAACTTCACACCCCAGTCAGGAACCCAAGCCTGGGTACCACCAGGGAGAAACCCTGAGATTATGCTAAACTAGGAGTTCCTCATCTACCTCCACCTTCTACAAATTTCCCTGAAATTGCAGATCCTGCAGGTTGAGCAGGCCTTTCCCATACAATGAGGCCTTGACGGATTCGGGAGTAGGGGACAATTTTATGGATTTTTCCACAGCCATGATCCTCTGTCTCCTACTACAACCCAAGGTTACACCAGACTTGGTAGAAACAATAGATGGGTCTCCATTGACATTGGGCTTGTTACAAAGGAGACTGCACTGATGGAAGTGGTGACAGGGGAGCACCACAAAGTCCTAAGGTTTAACCTTATTATTTCCTCACATTTCACCATGATTTTAGGGGCATGGCGGCTCACCACCACAATCACCATATTCATTACCTTCCCATCCAGATTCTGTAGGGAGAATTGCTTTCCTGTTCAAGAACTCAAAACCCTAGAAACCAAGACTGAATTTTTAAATATGTTCTTATTAGACCTCCCATCGTATAAGAACATAAGAATGGCCATACTGGGTCAGACCAAAGGTCCATCTAGCACAGTATCCTGTCTACCGACAGTGGCCAATGCCAAGTGCTTCAGAGGGAATGAACAGAACCGGTAATCATCAAGTGATCCATCCCGTTGCCCATTCCCAGAACCAATGCATTTGGTTTGGTGCTAGCTGTATTAGGCATTAACACCCTTTCAACCTGAGTTATCTTTTAATGAAGTTCTTTGTGTGGCAGAATACAGTATATAAATTGCAGTTTGGCTAAACATCACACTTCTGGGGGTAATGAAGAAATGTTAAATGAATTATTTGTCTGACGCAAATTTAAATTTTGTAGAATAGTACAAGTCTTGTTCAATACAAAAATCATTTTAAATCAGTAATTATTTCAAAAAGTATAATTTCTACTCTTCAGGCCAGCAAATCATCTTAAGTGTGTGAACTGGTCTATTTATTATACAAACTCCTTGTTAAAAAGGGAGTAGAAGGTGTTGTTTAGAGTTAGAATAAATCACTATCTTCTGCTACTGCTAATTGCCAGTTCTCCACCAACCTCTTCAGCAGAAACTTGGGCTCCTTTGGAAAGCAGAAGGTTGCTAGGCAGCACTAGGCTTCTGCAGGTGTGGCAAGAAGCTCTCTGTGACAGAGCCAACATTGCAAAACACTTACTAAAAAGTAAAGAGCTGTAAAATTAAGCCTTATTCAGTTTAACTTCATGTTTGGTTAAGAAAGCCTATTTCAGTGGTATGAAATCTAGTTTACACACAAAGAGAACCAATATTGTGCTGAGATTTCAGGACAAAACTGCCTCTGCACATCAATGCTACTGTGTACTGTACACAAGCAATGAGAGAGAATGAAAAAACAAAGCAAAGCCATATGTTTCTATCCAAATATAACACACACAAAAAATCAAGCAGCATGTAATGTGTCCACGTCTTTGTCCTAAAGAAACTCGAATTCATTATGAAAAAACTACAATGGTGACACCCAATATGCAAAGTATCACGCTGACTTAACGTGTAAGCAGAATTTGCCAGCTCCAGTTGCTGTGGCTAGCATACTACACAGTGAAGAAACTGCAACTCACCTCACGCTGACGAGTTATAGATTAATAGTTGTGACCATTATTGAAGTAAAGAGATTTTGCAAAGTTTTGCCAAGTCCCTCCAGTTTTATCTGCTTACTCTACTTGCCATCATGGCTGCACTCATAGGATAGTTTCACACTATTCTTTAGTTTCATTTTCTCAGGAGTGAGGACAAGACATCTGAACATCAGTAAAACTCAACATTTATTCAGAGATGCTGTTTTTCCTTTCCAATGTGGCCAGCTACCTGGCTGACTCAGAGAACAAGATAGCATACAAAGCCTGCTTTAAGTTTTTAAGCACTTTACCACTGCAATTTGGATAGAAAGGACTATGAATACTTATTATCACCATACACGTTTGCATATAGCACTTTACAAACAAGGTGTAGCCGTGCCAACGTCATTCTTGAGCCCAGGTCTCAACACGAATAGCTGCACGATACACACTACGGCTATGCCACTTTCCTCTCAGTTTAAATGGAGGCTGTGAAACGTATCAGCACTCTGCTCTTGGGGGCAGTATGGTCGCCTTTATGACAAAGTGTTACCATTTTAAGAGAATCATTAAAAGCAATTTGCAGAGTGCATGTTGCTTATACTTTTGCTTAAGTGAAATGAGAGAAAACACCGAAACAATTAAAATGGAAAATTAGAAAGTCCAAAACCCCACTTACCCTTCTTTGAACCAAGGTGGTTTTGATGGATCTCCATCATCTTGACCCTTAAATAATGAAGAAAAAAAAAGTTAGCTTCCAAAAGAAGAAACCCTGAAATAAATCAGCAGGATAAGGTTTGGGGAGAGGTGTAATGGAGCACACTTCATGCAGGTAAATGCACACAAACACTCCATTTCCAGAAGCACCTCAAATGACTGCAGCAAGGCAGGACAGGTCATGGGGATACACAAACAGTTGATGGGATCTCATCAAACACCTAAAGAGGGACCAAAAGAGCCTGTTCAGTGCACCTCCCCTTTCAAAAGGAGTCTCAGAAGAGCAATTCCAGCCTTCCCCACCCAGCCAAAGAATTCCTTATCGCTCTAGACCACCAGGAGTACATTTATATTTTATTATAAACTAAAAACAAGCTGTAAGAAATGCACAAATGAGGGACAGAATGAAGTTACAAACATAAGTAACCCTGATTTACTTAGCAAAGGAATACCTTAACCTACTGTCATTTTATTCATGCACAAATATAAAGGCCTTCTTCAGCCACAAAACAAAAACTTCAGTTTGCTGTTAAAACTCCACCTTTAAGTTAATGTGCAAAAGCTTTGTACTCCACAGGGTATCCAGGGACACTCACTTTTTATGAGGTGCCCAGCTGGGAACTGAGACAGCTGCAATCCAGAGGCACAATGGGGTAAACTATGGTCAGGTTTTCAGGAACCAGTAAAATTTGCTGTGCAGAGGGAAATTGTTTACTGTAACTATCCCCGGAGAAGAAAGGGTACCTTTATTGTCTATTGCTAACCTACTCTTGGGGATCATGCTAAGGTTGCCAGGCATCTGGTTTTTGACCAGACCACCTCGTCGAAAAGGGACCCTGGTGTAGTAGAAAGGGGGCCTGAAACAACAGCCCTTGTATCAGAGGCTGGTATGAGGCCTGAGATAAAGTAGTGGTCAAAGCTTTGCTAATATAAGGCAAAGTCAGGCTGTGAGTCAGAGGCAGGCCCTGCTCTCCGAATCTGGCAAGAACAGGGCTGATATTGCAAAAATGCACATTCCTAAGAGGTGCTAGCACAGAACACTCACGCAAACACATTGCAGAAGGTACCAGAACACCCCGATACCAGCACATTCCCCAAAGATAACAGGAACACACTGACCCTTCCTAAAGATAAGGTCAGGATGACAGTGTGATGGATAGAGATGTACAAGGTGATGGGTGGTAACTGGCTACGTCAGAGGGTATAAACTAACTACCTCAGAGGGGCAATACATAACTTGTTTGTACTGATGTATAAAATGGAGTCTCAGAGGGAGAGTCAGCCCAGGGGGGAATGGAAAGTCCCGCCATCCACTAAGCTTGTCACGGGCAGACATGTCTTAGTATCCTGGTAGAGTCTGCCAGGTGCTATTACCGCACTTCGTGGACAATAAATCTGGCTGGGCGCCTTCGCACCTTAACAGATCCTCTGATCATTGGGCAGTTCAATTGAAGTTTGCTGTGCCAACTATCTGCACAGAGCTGGGATGGCACACAGAGAACACGCACATGCAGGCAAACATCTAATAACACCAGGTGGCTCCGGTCAGCACTGCTGACCAGGCCGCTAAAAGTCTGGTCTGCAGCGCAGCTGGGCTAAGGCAAGTTCTCTGCCTGCCCTAGCTCCACGCAGCTCCTGGAAGCAACCAACATGTCTCTCCTGCTCCTAGGCGCAGGGGCAGCCACGGGGGCTCCATGCACTCCCCCTGCCCTGAGCACCAGCTCCACAGCTCCCATTGGCCGGCAACCATGGCCAATGGGAACTGCAGGGATGGCACCTGTGGGCGCAGGCGGCACATGTGGGCGTGGGCAGCACGCAGAGACCCCTGGCCCCTCTGCCTAGGAGCAGGATATGCCGGCCGCTTCCGGGAGCCACCTGATGTAAGCGCCGCCTGGACAGAGCTTGCACCCCAAACCCCCTCCGGCACCCCAACCTCCTGTCCCAGGTTGGAACCCCCTCCTGCACCTTAACTCCCTCCCAGAGCCCACACCCCAACCCCTTGCTCCAGCCCTGAGCGCCCTCCTGCATACAAACTCCCTCTTGGAGCCCACACCATGCACCTCCTCCCATACCCAAACCCCCTGCCCCAGCCCTGAGCCCCTCCTGCACTCCGAACCCCTTGGCCCCAGCCCGGAGCCCTCTCCTGCACCCCAAATCCCTCATCCCTGGCCCCACCCCAGAGCCCACATTCCAGCCAGAACCCTCACCCCCATCTCATCCCAACCCCCTGTCCTAGCCTGGAGCCCCTTAAACCCCTCATTTCTAGCCCCACCCCAGAGCCTGCACCACAAGTCGGAGCCCTCACCCCCCCACCCCCACCCCAACCCCTTGCCCCCGACCCATGAAAATGTGTGAGGTTGGGGGAGAGTGAGTGACGGAGTGAGAGGGATGGAGTGAGGGGGTGGGGCCTCAGATAAGGGGTGGGGCAGGAGTAGGGCAAGGGTGTTTGGTTTTGTGAGATTAGGAAATTGGTAACCCTAGCTCATGCCCTTCCACAACTTCATCTTCAAAGCTGAATAACGACTTTCTAATGGTAAATTTGGGGTATGTGGAAGAGATCATAACATTTAAGAGTGATTATTTTAGGTTAGTATGAATCTTAATTTGCTGACAGTATATACACCACTTGTACAGAAAAGAAAAACCTAAGTGTAAGTCATTATCTTCAGAGACTGCAATGATGGTTAGTATAACAGGCACCCTTTCTCTAAAAGTGGGTGTCCTCTCCAGAATCCCCGTCAATGTAAAGGGACATCTGTCAGCAAGTACATTCCAGTCAAATAATGGATAGAAAACAGTAGACAACAGCACCAGAAAGGAAGATTCTTCTTTCTTTCTTTCCTGTGGGCACAACAGAAATTATGGAGAGAATCACATACTCCTGAAGAACCCTCCATGGAAGATCTGAAGATACTTAGAAAACATAGCAAGTTTCCACTCAGTTTGAATCATCAACCTCTCCGGGATGAGAAATCCGATTTCCTTACTGCTATTTATTATTTCTATAGCTTCGTTGGTGTGCATGACACTGTCTAGACAGAAAACAAGACTCCTATCCTGAAAAGTGCACACTCGAACTTGGATTAAACAGATGAAGACAGGATGGAGGCAAATGCTGCACCAAAGTCAGACAGTTCAAACAAAGTTCGGCACATGCCTTGCTCATTCAGTTGATTTAAATATATATAAGTTTTAATAAATACATAAATGGAAATATCCTATCTCCTAGAACTGGAAGGGACCTTGAAAGGTCATCGAGTCCAGGCCCCTGCCTTCACTAGCAGGACCAAGTACTAATTTTGCCCCAGATCCTTAACTAGCCCCCTCAAGGATTGAACTCGCAACCCTGGGTTTAACAGGCCAATGCTCAAACCACTGAGCTATCCCTCCCCCCTGCAGCCCAATGCATTCCAACTTTGATGATATAGGATTGTGAAGGCCTGCAGAACAAGCAAGAGGCATGAGCTGCCAGCCCTACTGAAATCTGAAGATCAGCGGAGTTTCCTCACAGATCTTGGGGCATCTGCAGAGAGAAGGAGCATTCCTCCGAGGGGGTTATAACTCTTCACAACTTCCTGGGTGCCCCCGTACAAGCCACGCCATCAATACCCTCTCATCTAAGCCAGACCGCTACAGTCCCACTGAGGTGATCTGACAGTGCAGAGTGGGGACACAAGGGGACCTTGGAAATCTAGAGAACAATATAAACAGGTATTTCCTTTCAAAGAGGAAAAACAGAGTACAGGAATAATTCCCACACTTTTTCTATAAACTTCAGGAGAAGATGCAATAAAGAATATAGTTATTAAATCAAATAGGATTGTCAAGCCCGCTGGAGATAGCAATTTAATGTTCTGGTAGCAGGGGCAAAAAAGCAATTTTTCCACTGGAATCAACGACCAAATGTGTTAAATGCAAATTAACTGTGGTTTATTGCTGAAAATAACTTCTCAGATACAGAGAGTGGTAGAAAAAGTATTTGACTAGCTCATCTGAGGTGTACTAAATATAATTTGCGAGTTTTCAAGAGATTAAAACACTAGCATAAATATTGTCCAGAATATTTAATATTTCTAAAATCTGCCTGACAGTAAGGGCCAAATTCTGCTCTCAGAGGAGTGCCCAGCTTCCACTGACACCAAAGGAAGCTACCCAGAAGAATGCATAGACACAGACATGACCATAGCGCACTCTGGGACTGGAAGATGCATTTCCTGCAGCTAGGATTAGTTGAAGTTAGATGTACCTCAGGAGGTGCTACCTCAGCAGAGAGAGAACGTAACATATCATAATATACCCTACAGCACCTAGTGACATTTTGCAGAGAGTTACATTCGCCTGTCGAGGGCAGAGATGTCAGATTGCAGTGCTGTTAGAATGGAATTACCAGAATGGATGAGGGTTTTCCCTTCAGCCTGGCAGTTTGTTGTCAGAAGGTAGCACCGCACCTTTCCCAGGAAAGGGAAATGGTTCAGCAGCCGGCTACAGGCCTGGGTCAGGCTGCTAGTTACAAGACTGTTCGAGTCAGTACAAAACTCTTAGGGTTTGGCAGTTGTTAGCTCTCAGAACAAACTGCAGCTGAGACAGCCAGATCTATCTCAAGCCAGGAAGTCCAATACTCAACAGGGTGGGACCAGGAGACAAATTAAGTGACAAAGGAGAAGGCGGTTCCAAAGGATGGCCGGCATTTTAGCCATTGTTTCTCATGAACCAAGCAGGAAAGGGAAGCAAGGAAAACCTGTACATTTTAATACCCAGAGTATCCACAACCAAAGCCTTCATGCAAAACCATTCAGGAACTATTTCTAGTTAAAAAAAAATATCAACATTTCTGCCATCCTTACGCTCATTGAGTTGTCCCTCACTCCTCAAGTAGCAACTTGGACTGCTGAAAGCTAGGAACCACTCAACACACGAAGGAGTGCAAAATCCAGCCCAACTATTCCTTTAATGCTGAACATTTTTTTTTACTATCCATCTTGGTAAAGTGTATGAATGTGTGAAAATATATTTCAATAATGGAGCATTAAACAGATACTCAAGTACATAAAACTTGAATCATTACATCCCTGTTCATTTTGTTCTATACTTCTCATACTGACAGGCAATAATTTTACAAACCTGGGACCTGGACCAGCAAACACTTACCACCAGGTATAGTGCTTACTACTGCATGTAAAACCGTGGGACCACTCACAGTAGTGAACACTACACCCAGTAGAGTTTACTTAAACGGTAACTCAATTCTCCTACCAACCAATAACCCTAATGAGAAACCAAACCACAGCTCATATTTTGGAATAATGAGCCAAACTAACAGAGCTGCTCATTTAGGCTCAAATAAGCAAAACTCTCATTGAAGCCTACACTGAATGTAATGAGAGCTTTGCCTAGGCAGATACAGCAGGAGCTAGGATTACTAGTCCTCTGATCTAATTATTCTGAAATAATTAGATTGCATTGCATTCTACAGTGCAAATTACTTCAGACAAAAAAAGCAGGTGTTTTAATGGAGAGGAAAGGAACATTTAAGCACTTTTGTAGAGGAGTACTTTAAAAGAGAGATATACACATGATCGAAACAAATGCATCCAGCGGACAAATACACCAAGTCTGGAATGGATGAAAAGTAACAATACCAGTACCGAGCTGCCAGTTCTCTCCAGGAACAAAGGAAAAACACTCCTTTCTAAAACCCATTTAATCTTCTATTCCTCTTAAACATTGCATCAAACAAGTTATCAGCATAAGTGAAAACCATATTGATATGTAAAACCACTGTACATAAATGGTTGAAGAAGCACCAAGGTTAAAATTATTATTTTTTAAATGTGTCCTTACCTGAATATAAGTAAGTTAAGTTATTAACATTGAAAAAAATGCCAATGTCTAAATTTGCTTTTGTGAGAATCAGGACCACCAAGATGCTAGGGTAGGAGTGACTGTGTCAGCACCCGTACTGAACCTCTGAGCATGTGTTTTCAGAGGCATTGGCGAGCTCAGACTGAGCAAAGTGGTCACAGTTATTAAAACGCTGGACCAAGATTCCAACTAACCTGACTTGATCGCTCATTCAATTTTACATGATGTTCAAAGTTACAGAAAACCAAAAGGTGACCATTTCATCCACGCCCCCCGTATCTGCAAAGAAACTTCACAATGGCATCAGCTTAAGCAACTGACGGAAAGGTTGTCATCCCAGGCGCAGCTGGAGGATAACCAAATTCAGGCAATTGCAGTTCTCCATGTGGAAGACCCAGCAGCCTGGCAGGTATCTGATGCTTTTACATGGAAGGAGGAAGATGACAGAGGATTAACCTCAGAGAAAATGTTACATACAAGACATTCCATTTTTTATTTGTCATGTGCGGTAATATGAAGCAGTTGATGCACAAGTGACTAAGCTAAAGCTTAAAGATCAAACTTCTGAATTCGGGAAACTATGAGGCACCTCGGGAGATTTGTTCCACATACGAGCCAAATGGCCACGTGAGGTTCAGACAGCTGCTGGAAGCATGAAAAGCAATTCATGCAACGAGTACATAGCCCACAGTGAGACAGGAAGGGAACCAAAATGGCAACTGAAACAGGAATGAAAGGTTTTTAGGACAGGCAGAATTTCCTCTACACTAGAAGTTAAGAATACAAGCTAAGAAATTGCACAGCACTCCATGAAAAACTCCATAAATGCACCAGGCGTGGGGAGAGGAGAGAAAGAGGGGAACAAACATTTACCACACAGTTAAACCCAGTACTGTCTGTGTACTTGAATGGCAGCAAGCAGTGATGCAAATCTCAACATAGGTCCTGTGACTGGAGAGCAAACTGTTTCAGATTAGCAAATACATCTAAGTACTGATGGCACAGTTGTATCCTTTACACTGTATATTGGAACACAGGACACTAATTCCAAGGAAAATAGACAGTACAGTAGAGCTAAGGAATCTACAGCCAACCCCGTATTCCAGTTCATGTAATATCGCTTGACCCCAGTGTTATTACTACCGATGAATGGTAGTTTCAGGTTTTAAATGCAATAATTATACAGAAACAATTGAGAGATGAATGAAATGATGCTAGTGATGGAGTGTGGGGACGGGAACCACTCAATTTATCAAGAGGTGCAGAAAGTAAATGGGGCACTAGAAAACACTTGATAAAACACTTACATTGAACCACTTCCCCTTTGCTAATGTTGCACCTGTGTATACATACACAGATCACAGAGTATCATTCAGGAATCTCTCAATCTATAAAGTATGAATATTTTTTCCTTAGAGGTAACCCGCACTGAACAGACTCTTCTTTGCTCATACACATTATTAGTGATTCCTCTGAAAACCAAAACATGCTAAACTCAGGAAGAATCTGAAAGCTTCAGCTGAAGCAACTGGTTACAATTAGACAGGGCATGCACACATATTGGAGCTTCAGAAAAGGAAGAGACACACTGGTTAGAATGTACAGTATGTATAACCTGAAGTTCTCCTCTACTTCCTTCTGCAAAGAAAAAGAGAGGAAGGAGAAGAACAGAGTTATTAGAGTAGATTTCTGCCATGGACTTTGCGACAGAGTTTTGAAAACTGGAGTAAACCTTTGCTGAGAGTCCAAGAGCTGTTTGTGCAGTGGGAAGGTTTTCACATGCTTGTCTGGAACATTTACATACTAAGGTCTATTTAGCTAAAATGTGGATAATTTTTAATTAGAGTTATAACATCGGGGTTCATGTTCTTACGCATATTAAATTGTTTTTAAACCAACAAAAAGGCTTCCAGTTCCCTTTTCATTAAAAAAAGACGAACTTTTTCATAATCCAATTTTCTTCTCAGAATTATGTATCACACACTTTACATGCTTGCCTGCCGGATAAGGCCAAAGAGGGAAGACCCTCTTAAATAGTCCCAGGGTGATTAGTCTGGACATGACATATTCCTATGATAAGTCTATCTTCTGTTATTACTTGTATTTAGATCAAATGCCTAAGCAACAGAATGCTGAAGAAAATCAAGAGGGGTAAAATAGTTCCATTTATTAAAACCGTAGTGAACATTTTTCAAGCTTGCATTTTTCAACGACTTTTTTTCCTGATGTAAAGTTATTGAATTTTGCCTGCAAGTGCACTAGTAAAGCTTCCCTAAGTAGTATTGATCTTGCTAGAGTGGCCCTTTTATCTTTTTCATAAAGACCATTTTCAGTTAGGTGGCACCATCAGCTATTAGCATATTGCCAAAGGTTGGCTCTCTTGAATGAACCACTGCAGAGGTCATTACGCTATGAAACATATGCAAATACATCTGTGTGTGTGAATATGGGGGAGTGAGAGAGCGTCCATCAGTCTGCTGTGTTATTTACCAACGTTCCTTCATATCCCTATCTTTCTTTCCACTCTTTCCCCCAATCTTCTCCTAGCTGCACTTCTCCATCCCTCTTTCATCCTATCCATCTCACCTGAAAACAACACTAGCTCATATGGCCAGTGCCTCCTACCTCATACAGCAACAGAGCTCCCATCCCCTATCTGCACGCCCAGGGTAAGCACCAGCTCATTGCTCAATACATTCTGGGGTGCTTTCAAGCACGGGAAGCATTACAAGCTCGGAATCTCTGAGGACCGTACACCTGGTGTCTTACAGAGAGCGCAACCCCAAGGGGTGGCAGTGCAATGAAGTAGTAGAAGCCAGTAAAGATCCCTCCCAGCAAAGATGGGATGGAAGGTTGAGGATGTTTGGGTGCAGTGCTCCTCTCCCCATGCCACAGCAGCCTAGAGCTCTATCCTGGAGGATATACATATACCTTTCAAAATGGGGCCCAGAATAGCAGGCAGTTACCACTTTCTCAGTCTTTGCAAGGATGCTGCCATTTTCCTGCATAACTTGTATTACTTTACTACCAGAAAGGGAGCAGGAATTTCACACGACACAGATAACTTGCACTATTCATCACAGAAAGGAGGTGCATTTCTTATTTCTCTCCCCTCACTTCCTGGTTTCTTCATCCTAATGACAGAACAAATTCTATGTCAGAGGGTTAAGGCACAGCCTAAGGATGGTTAATGGGGTCTGCTACAGCCTAGTAGTGGCCTTTTCAAGGCAGGCTACAAGATTCATCTGCTTTCCCTGGCTTTTCTAGGACAGTGGCGAGGCACTTTATAAATGGGGGGAAATAAATACTGAAATCAGGAAACATGCTTCCTCCTTTCCTAATTTTTATGTTAATCAGAAAATGGCAACAACTGTGGAATGAGACATTCTTGGTCACAGAAAAGCTGAAGCTTCAAGAGGAATTTCTTAGAGTATTCTCCTTTAGTTGACTTTGTGTATTTATACATTTGATTTGAAAAGACCAAAGTCTTCCTTTCTTCCTACCCTTTCTCTTTGTCTGTCAGCAGAATGGCAGTCTCCATGGGATACATTTTACTTTTTTTGTGACTTTTTCTAAGCAAAGACCTTTTCTGTTTTTAATAAGATTTTTACTTAATGAATAAAAAATCTGAGGGTTTCCTACAGCAAAACTAGTCTCCCAAAAATAAAATAAAGAGGGACTGTACTTTAAAAAATAATTCCAACATTAGTGAAGTTATGCAGGAGTCACGCAACCTCTTAGCTGTTACTTGCACTTCTAGTTCACAGTGATTCGTAGGTACACAAAGGGCCATTTCACAAACCTTCCAGTGCAATAGTTCTGTGTCTGTGTGAAGGAATCAAATGACTTTAGAGAAAACAAGCACTAAGTCAAGTACGCATAGCAACTAGGGGCAATCAGTTGAATGCTAAAACAATTTGTAAAATTACTCTATATAGGATGTAATTACATATGTGCGATCACTAAGACAGTATTAAAACAGACAAGCTACTTTCAACTCAATCACTGAAAGTCAAATCATTTTATGCAAATGACAAGCAAGAATGCAGCTAAAACTTACACTTTTAGCAGAGATTCTGGATCAGAATATGTATGACTACAAAATCAAAATATTGTAACAGAAAAATTTAATAAACAGACTTCTATACAGATTTCAATTCAAATAAAATGTTAATTTAGTTTTAGGCTATGTTTGAACAACTACACTTGATGGACTGCCTAAAAAATCTGTGTGTATAAGATAATTAGAGTCTTCAAAAGCATAATATTCAATGGTGTTTTTATCTTAATGTTGACGATATGGAAACCAAGATGGACACCAGTATGAGCATATGAATTTATCCAGCTCCTTGAATCTGCACCTCAAAATACTGAGACACAGTAAATCTGATTATCTTCACGGGTAATGCACAGTAAGCTCAGGGAGGGGGTGGCTAGGGGCTGTGTGCGGACAGGGGGGTAACTCAGGATGCAGGTAGGGGGTAGCTAGGGGCTGTGTGCGAGCAGGGGATAGCTCAGGGAGGGGTAGCTAGGGGCCGTGTTAAGTAAGGGCGCTAGCTCAGGGTGCAGGCAGGAGGTAGCTAGGGGCTGTGTACGGGCCAGGGGGGATCCCAGTGTGGCTCCTGACTTCAGCCCCTGCGCCGCTCCTGGCTGGAATGGGGGGGCTTGGGGGAACCGGGTTTCAGCTCCGCAGCCCCCCGAAAGGGCTCACGGACCCCTAGGGGGCCACAGACCCACGGTTGAGAACCGCTGATTTAGAGCAAGGAGAGAGAGGCTCCCTGCTCTTAATTCAGGTGCCCAGACCTGGATCTGGCACAGCCCACAGCAGCCCAGAGCTGCAACGGCAAGGAAAATCCGGTTCAGCCCTGGGGTTGGAGCATGCTCAGTGCAGAGGGAATCTGGGGAATTTAGCCTCTAAAATATAACGATGCTCTACTGAGCAAGTGTGAACTCAAGTTTTTCAAAGGCCTATAAGTTGGCCAAATTTGGACAGTTTTTTGTTGTTGTTTAATGGATTGTTTTTAAACGGGGATGGGAATAGGTACTTCCCAGAAACAAAAGCCATCCCCCTGCCAACTTACAAAACATGTGGCAATGGAGCAGAAAAAAATGCCAGAATTTAATGTGGGCAAAATGTATTTTCCACTTGTTCTTGGGAAAGGCTGAACGTTTTGGCTTAAAAAAAAAATAATAATAATCAGCCTCAGGCAGACTCCTGGCATGGAAAATATCAGTCAAACTGGTTGAATGTTCGGCAAAGTTATAAGCAACTGAAAGCAAAGTAATTTAATGGGACGCGTCAGACACCCTTAATAAAAGGCAATGCTACCAGCCCTGCCTAGAATTATTTGCCCTCCAGCCATCACCAAAAATAAATACTTAATTCAACCCTTACCGCAGAACTCCATCCAACAGACTTGTTCAATTTTGAGCTTCCTCAATTTGTCAGAGGATATTTTTTTTTATTCAAATTCAATTGAAACAGTCACTATTTAGATACATCTGTCAAGTTCTAAATTGTTCAGGTAATTTGCATTTGGGTACAACTATAAGTCATTTAAACCTTTATACCAATGATTCCTTCACCAGAACACACAATGATTTATTAATACCTTCCAGGTTATTTCTGTTCCTTCACTGCATCGTTACCAGATGTCTCTATTAGATATCTTGAACTAAACTTTCAAACTAAGATATAAACAACTATAATTCAAGGTCAGAGTTGCTTAGAGGCAGGCAGGAGGGATTAGGTCACCAGTGGAGCTGACCTAGACTCTTATAAAGGCTGTAAAAACAGAAAACGATTTTATTTTTAAATTGAGATGTTAACCAGCATCATGAGTTGGCAAGGCATATTTCACTGCATTCTGAGTATGGTGACCTTGAAAAACAGGGTTTGACTCAGAAATCTATAACAAGCTACCCGCAGTGAGACAGAGCACCACAACACCTCAAATCAGCTTCCCTATTATAACATTTCCTGAGAAAATGAACACCAGATCAATCCCTTTTTAATGGAACAGATTTTATTAACAACTTTCTCCTGCCCTCTCTCTAAGACTTTGGCCCAAACCTTCATCATCTCTTCTCGCTTCACCTACTGCAAACCAACGTGGCCTCTTTACATCAGCCTTAACTGGCTCCAGGCTATCCAAAACACTGGGGCCAAACCCAACTCCCCCTCTCCTCCTGTTCTGACTACCTCCCCTCACTTCACTAGCTTCCTCTCCACTTCCACATCAACTTCAAGCTTTGCCCTCATATTCCAGACTTTTTTTTTTTTTTGCAAAATAAAGTCTGCTCCTCCCTATATCTCGGATTTCTTCCCAGTTTCACTTCCTTTGCTCATGCTCCCTTAAAACACGTCAGCTTCCTGCACCAAGAACACATACTACACCTGATGTACTAGAGCAACTGTAATAATAATTTACCACTTTGATGCCCCTTTACATATGCAAATCACTGTGCAAACACTGATCGGTCTTTACATCATCACTATGCTGTATTATCCCCATTTTACATATGGGGCAATGTAGGCAGGGAGCTGCAGGGATATGTAAGGTTGTCCAAGAAGCCCATGTCTAGACTAGAGCCCAAGAGTGTTGACACTCAAGCACGTTCTCCTTCCTCCAGACCACACTGCCTACTATTAGGATTTGAACACTTTGATATGTCTTTACTAGGGCTGTCAATCACAGTTAACTCGCGATTAACTCAAAAAATTAATCGTGATTAAAAAATTAACTGCGACTAATCGCAGTTTTAATTGCACTGTTAAACAATAGACTACCAATTGAAATTTAAACACTTCGGATATTTTTCTACATTTTCATATAGTTTGCATTCTTTGTTGTAATTAAAATCAAAGTGTATTAATTACAAATATTTACACTGTAAAAATGATACTATTTCTTTTGTTTATTTTTTGTTATTGTTCACCTCATACAAGTACCATAATGCAATCTCTTTGTTATGAAAGTGCAACTTACAAATGTAGGGGTTTTTTTGTTAAATAACTGCACTCAAAAACAAAACAATGTAAAACTTTAGAGCCTACAAGTCCACTCAGTCCTACTTCTTGTTCAGCTAATCGCTAAAACAAACAAGTTTGCTTACATTTACGGGAAATAATGCTGCACTCTTCTTATTTACAATGTCACCAGAAAATGAGAACAGGCGTTCACATGGCACTTTTGTAGCCAACATTGCAAGGTATTTACGTGCCAGATATGCTAAACATTAGCCCCTTCATGCTTTGGCCACCATTCCAGAGGACATGCTTCCATGCTGATGACGCTCATTAAAAAATAATGTGTTAATTAAATTTATGACTGAACTCCTTGGGGGAGAATTGTATGTCCACTGCTCTGTTTTACCCGCATTCGGCCATATATTTCATGTTATAGCAGTCTCGGATTATGACCCAGCACATGTTGTTCATTTTAAGAACACTTTCACTGCAGATTTGACAAAACACAAAGAAGGTACCAATGTGAGATTTCTAAAGATAACTACAGCACTTGACCCAAGATTTAAGAATCTGAAGTGCCTTCCAAAATCTGAGAGGGACGAGGTGTGGAGCATGCTTTCAGAAGTCTTAAAAGAGCAACACTCTGATGCGGAAACTACAGAACCTGAACCACCAAAAAAGAAAGTCAACCTTCTGCTGGTGGCATCTGACTCAGATAATGAAAATGAACACATGTTGGTCCGCACTGCTTTGGATCGTTATCAAGCAGAACCCATCATCAGCATGGACGCATGTCCCCTGGAATGGTGGTTAAAGCATGAAGGGACATATGAATCTTTAGCACATCTGGCATGTAAATATCTTGCAACACTGGCTACAACAGTGCCATGAGAATGCATGTTCTTGCTGACACTGTAAACAAGAGACAGGCAGTATTATCTACTGCAAATGTAAACAAACTTGTCTGAGCGATTGGCTGAACAAGAAGTAGGACTGAGTGGACTTGCAGGCTCTAAAATTTTACATTGTTTTATTTTTGAATGCAGTTTTTTTATACAAAATTCTACATTTGTAAATTTAATTTTCATGACAAAGATTGCACTACAGTACTTGTATGAGGTGAATTGAAAAATACTATTTAATTTGTTTTTTTACAGTGCAAATATTTGTAATCAAAAATAAATATAAAGTGAGCACTGTACACTTTATATTCTGTGTTGTAATTGAAATCAATCTATTTGAAAATGTAGAAAACATCCAAAAATATTTAAATAAATGGTATTTTATTTTTTAATCGCGAGATTAATCTTTTTAATCTCGATTAATTTTTTTAATCACTTGACAGCCGAGGTCTATACAATACTATACTTATGTGGGCTTCATAAATTGCTTAAACTTTAGTTGCACAACTGCATATAATAAAACCAGCAGAACTGAAGATTGTATGTTTTGGTTATCCTAAATTTAGACATAAAATAAATTGTATTTGTAAAGCACTCCCTCTTCCCCATACTTTCTGGATGTGAAGACGCTGTACACATTAGCATCTTGAAATCCAAAAAGGTGAAAACAAAGAAGAGTATGGATATTTATTTTTGTATGAAATAAAATTAACAGTTTTAGAAAACATCTTTCAAAGAGATATTCCCCTCTGTCCTCTTGAAAGTTTTTTGAGTGTTCCCTTGAAAAATGTACTGGTAAGTGCTAAGCACAAATTCTTAGAAGGATTTTTAATGCTTGAGGCAATAAATATCACAACATTCTGTTTTAATAAATTCTCCAATAAAGAATACACATGAAACAAAGAAGGGAACTATTAATTTAAAACAACGTAATTTACATCATTTGAGAAGACTACCTACTACTGAAGTCAAATATTGATTGATAACTGCTTTGATAGAGGAAAAACATGGTTCAAGGCTATAGGCAAATTAAGACTTGAGGGGGAGAACTGTTTTGGGAGGTGGACGGGCATTAATTTCCTTATGTACGGATTATTCTGAACAGTTTTTTATGACTTATTACAAAAGGAAAAATGAAAAAAACTATTGTAGATATATCACAATGACTTAAAAAAAGGAAATCAATAGGCATTTCAAAACAGGGTGCAGACACATGCTGCCTCCATCAGTCTCTGGAATATAAAAGCCCCTCCACCTAACAATTTACCAACATTTCTCTGGCTTTATAGTGATTTGAGGTTAAGAAAGTTTATCCCGACTTCTAACTAGACTAGGTTAGAGGTCTGGTCACAGTGAGGATTGCAAGGCTTCGTTTTACCAAATCATTGTCAAAAATAGGTCAGCTCTATAGGCCAGATTCTCAGCAGGGGTAGATCAGCAATCTCCCAAATAACATAATGCAGTCTCACATGAGAACCAAGCGGTGGGGAAATTGAGTGCACTATAGTGATTTTCACAGACATTACTGTTTACTTATTCAATACATGGAGTGCATGGGCACCATTAGTAAACACTATCCTCTATTTACTTTCAATCTCTGGTACTGGTTACATTTACAATCTTAATCTCAAAGCCATGGCCATTGTCTATGTTAAGGGATTTTATTTTTAATCCCTACCACTGCTACCACCTGTTTAGCTCCCCCAACAATACTTGTCTAGGCAAAGGCTCCTGTATCTGGCTACCACAGTTGGTGTTAACGCTGCACCAGAGCAGATCAAACCAACAGAATGTTTAATGCATTTGCAACAGTCGGTGACCTGTCTACATTAGGGATCCCAAACCCCTATTAGCAACAGTGGAATATTTCCCTGAGGTCTCACCTCACGGACAGATCTTTCAGACAAGTTACAGAAACGTGAAAGCATACTACCCATGCACATTTCACATAGGGGCTAGTTTAACATTTACTATTCTACTAATCACTGATGGAGCCACCTGGAGAAGCGTGGACCAATTCATTACTAAACGGTTCCACTCCTGAACCTGGCAAGTCTAATTACGGATAGCTGAGACACACTTTCCTATTGGATTTTGTAACTACTGTAACTTGGGAAAGAACCTGGTCACAGAAGACGACACAAAAAACAAACACACACCTGCTATTTTGGAGCTACATGACTAGGTCCTCAAAAATAATATGATGATTTGTATTCCGTTTTACAGCAGTTTCAGTAACGCATTGTTACATAGTTTAAACTTTAGCATAGGGTATAGATTGTATTGGGGGGATTTTTTTGTTTTTTTAATTGACTCAGTATTGTTACATCATATGTACTTTGTATCTAACCATTTACAAATCACCTATAAAGCATTTTGATAAGTTGTTCAACCACTGAATTAAATATTGCATATCCAGCTATAGTAATAGTAGACTTTAGAAAAAGAATTAAAAACTTTTTAATATACCTGAATTCATTTCATCGGTCGAAACCAAGCTTGCTTCCTGCGCTAGGTCCTTTAAAAGTCTCCTACGCACTTGTCTTTTTTCCCTCAGCACATTTTTGAAGTTATTGATGCACTTGTTCAGGTAGATAGTCTCTGCACACACCTTTTCAAGGCTCATGGGTCTGTACTCCTTTGTTTGCTCAGGTAGAGAACTAGCATCTGTCACCATCTCACCAGAAGGTAGGGACTGTCCAGCATAAATCTCTGAGTCAGAACTCAACACCAAACTAGGGACAGGAGACTCATGAGGGGCAGGTGGAAGCCTGGAAGGAACAAATTGCATTTGAACTGCTTCACTGTTCGCAGATGTGTTGGCCTGGCTCTCGGAAGACTGACTGGGGGGGCTTTCTGTAAAGTTATCAGAGCTACCACAGACACCTGCACCACTCAGCGCAAGTCTGCCATCATGTTCCATTTGGAAGCTGGTATCATTTTCCAGGAGGACTTCAGAGTCACTGGTCTCCAGCTTGTGAAACACCACCTGTAGAGCAGATCTAAAATGATGAATAGCTTTCCCAAGTTTGTTAGTATAAAACTTCATGTCCACAAGATCAATGTTATCCTGGGAATGGTCAAGAAAATACTGGGAATTTTCTAACACATCCCTAAAGACCTGGTCAGTTTGATCTTGGTCATTCAGATCTATTTGGACCATATCTTTCAGAGTATCACTGCTATCAGCTAGTTTATCTGCTGTGTGAACACTGCTTACAGTTGTAGCACCCGTAGACTGATCTTCCAAGAGAAGATTTATTTGCTCTGTACTGAGGAACTGAAGCATGGTGTTACATTCCATTTCATTTTCTCCCGTAGTTATTCCCTCAGCTTTATCCTCCTCTAAAGGGGAAGAGCAGTTCTTAGTCACAATTTCAGTGTCAAGCCCAAGTCCTCCTCCACCACATAAAGCGTGTATATGGCTGGCATGATCCGAGGTCTCTGGGGAGTGGCAGGAATGTCCTTCATCTGTTTTGGACAAACGAGTCACCTGAAGAGTTTGCTGAGGTGTGTGGGAAACATGGAGGACAGGCAGAGGAGAGTCACTCTTTTGTGAAGTTTGCTCACTACAGTTGTTTATAATTTGCGATACTTGCCCCATTTTCACCTCGAGTTCAGAGATCAAGTTACTTTTCTTAGCTAAGGTTGACCTTTGTGTAAAACCAACTCTCTCCCCTAGACCCTGTGTTTTTCTACTTGTGTTTTTGTACCTAACCTGGTAAGATTCAGTTTCAAGGTGCCCATCGTCACCAGTTCTTTGGGCCTCTTCATCACAGTTCAGAGAGCTCCAGTGATTTTTCTTGAGGCCAGACTGCAGTAATGAGAGTGGATCTGCTCGGCAGTCCCTTTGGCCAGTCTGTTGGTTTTGCTCTTCGCTAGCAACAATCCTGACCCCCGTGCTTTGCATGAGAATAGACTTCTGTAAAATGAAATCTCTTTGTTCAGGGTTTGCAAGTTTCACAATTGCTGGTCTTGGTACTAATTGTTTGCCTGGAGTTGCATTTGACCTATAAGCATCTTTTATGTACTTACTACACTGAATACCATTGAAGCAGTAGTACTCAGACAGGAAGCTGCAAATGAGCTCCATAGTGTTTTCACCATCTTGTTCTGGGATACCATAAAAGTATAACACTGGTTCTTCCTTGCGTACAGCTCTGTAGGACTCCCTGGTGTGTGCGACATGAGACGTTTTGGCAGTGGAACCACTCTGTAAGCCTTCTATCTCACTCAAGACCGTGTCTACACAGCTGGACACTTCATCCACTGAGCCTTTTATCAAGGTGAGGTGTTGCCGGAGTTCTGCAATCTCTGTCTGGATGCGACTTATCCCCTGTAGCTCTTTAACAATGTACTCAATCACATCTGCAGAATGGTCTCTCGGGGGAAGGCTGTTACTGTTGTATGCTGGAAGCTTGTTTTCATTCTCAGTGCTCTCTCTCCAGCTCATGGTAATACTAAGGGTAGAAAGGTCCTGCCCCTCAGACATTACACCCTTGCTCTGGCAAATAGGCTGCATAGTACCCTCAGATGATATTCCCTCTAAGTCTTGCTGATTCCGTTGAACTGAGCATGGTATTTTTACACAGCCATCCCAGTTAAGTTCCACCTCACCGACACAGATGTCGCTCACCTCCCCAGAACCATTTCTCCTGTCCTGAGCAAAGCCCACTCCAATCGTAGAAAATTCAGTGCTTGTGGATTTCCTCTTTATCCCACAAACAAACACGTCTGTTTCAATTTCTACTGGGGAAAGCTGGTGACTCTGACTCACTGAGATCTCATTTACTTGGCCTTGCAGAAGTCTCTTCATTTTCTCCCTCAGATACAAACAGAATCTTTGCTTCTTGAATTGCCTCCTGGCCAAGCGTTTTTACAATAGATTTTCTGTGCAGAAGAGGAATCTCATGTTCTGGCCTTTTCAATCTACTGCTAGCAAACAGCAGCAGCAGCTGCCCCTGTGTTTCTCCATAGTGCAATACAGCAGTACAAGCACACATCAATCACTGCCCGACGCGCACTCTCACATCCAGGGTTTATTCTTTCATGAAGCAACTACCAAAAGAGGGGAAGATATTGCATTCCGGTCAGAAAATACAAGGCAATTTTCAGCATATAATAAAAAGTAGTAGCATCCACATCAAGCCAGTCAGAAAGAGGATCTACTCTTTCAAATTTTCCTACCATAATGCATTTATTTCAGCTGCTGCACTGATAACTAGTTCTACGTGAGGCATTCTTTAATAAAGCAACAGTATCTCCCCCTGTACCTCCCTTTTCACAAGGGGGTAAAAAAATACCAAAGAACCCAAAGCCCTCTGACCAGTCAACGTGTGACCATGCCTTTTTTACGGTTATAACTGCAAGTCCCACAAAAGTAGCTACCCCTTCTATGTAGTTACCTCTTCTGAATACAAAATTCTGTCACAAAATACTAAGGATTCTCTCTCTGCAGGTGTCCCTTCTCCCTAGGCCCACCATCTTCACCCTTTCAAAGGTGAAGAAAGATCAAGTTTAAATTTGCTCGGTATCAGCAATCCCAAAGGAATCACTGAGATTGACATAATGCAGCAGCAGAGACTGGATGCTAGCTTTCAGACTATCAAACTTTTTCATTATTTTAGTAATAAATGTTAAAATAAGAAAGTAACACTAAAGAAACACTCAAAACTTACAAGCTCCCAAGTTAACCTACATATAATATACGCCATATACAGCTTATGAACAAACTGAGCTGACAGGACGATGATGTCATTCTTATTCCAGTTTTCTGGATTTTACACTGGAGCATTCCAGGATCGAACCCCTCCCATAGAAAGGAAACAAACACTACGTTATCTGTGTAAGGCTTGTCTGACCCCCATTAGTGTAATAGCTGAGCACCACACAATCCTGGGGCTTGTCTCCACAGCAAGGTACTGAGTGGCAAGCCAGGGTGTGAATATACAGCAGTGTGACTCTACATTCCCTCAAGGACACAGCTGCAGCATGCTGAGAGTCCCGGAGCGAATTAGTGTACTGTAGATTCACACCCTGACATGCCGCACAGTGACCTGCCATGTAGACAAGCCTTAGTGTAGCCTCAGCATCCCCATTTTATAGGTGGGGAACCGAGGCAGTGAGACATGCGCCCCGGTCACACAAAGTATGTGGTCAAATAGGGAATTGAATCTAGGTCTCCTGATCTTCAGGCTAGTGCCTTAACCACTGGACTATCCCTCCTCTCCTAGACATGTGCTCTAATCAGGACAGCACGTGGCACAGTTGGTCAGAGTAGGAGCTATACTAAATGCCTCTCAGTTTGTAATAAATGTTCAGCCCTAGAACAATTATTTTAAACAAAAATAATTCTACAGTGCACTGGGACAAACAGCACATAATGAATTACTGAACACAATATAAAAATGACCACGCTGGGTCAGACCAATGGTCCACCTAGCTCAGTCTCCAACAGTGGCTGGTGCCAGATGCTTCAGAGTGACTGAACAGAACAGCGCAATTTAGTGAGAGATCAATCCTCTGTCGTCCAATCCCAGCTTCTGGAAGTCCCAACTACTGCCTAAGTATTAACATTTTTACCGACAAATAAAGCCTTCAGGGTGCAGTTTTATGATGTACACCTGTTTCTGAGAATGAAGGGTTACAGTAATATCATTACTTCTGAGTGGAAAGTCTAGAATTCGTCTGTAAAAGCAGGGGAAGGGAGAGTTAAAGGGAGCTTCTCCTCTTCTTCAGAATTACCAGCAGAGGAAACTCAAGCCTCTCCTACACTTTACACAAGCACTAAATCTCCATCCTGAAAGCTCAACACAAAGCTAACCTGGTCCTTGGCATAACGGTTATGCGTCTCATACATGATTCAATCCACAACAGGGGACGCCAATCTCCCCTTGCTTCATTTGGACGCTATTTGGCTGAGCAGCACCAGGTGCAACTGCTTGCAAAGCGAATCACAATCTGAGCTTTTCCCTGGGGGTCTTTGCAAACACACTACACCCAGTCTCCTTAGGAGAGTAGCATGTACTAGCTCTGCAGTACTCCTAGCCAAGAGTGCGGGCCCAGTAACTGATCCCACATATTTCACATTATGTGGCTATACAGTGTACTAACCACAGGAGTACCAAAATGCTTGAGTTTTATTTGCATTGAGATTACAGCCTGTATTAGGGCCTGACCCAAGGTCCACTGAAGTCAGTGGGAGCCCTTTCATAGACTTTGAGGGGCAAACCCAAAGTTCATTGAAGCATTAGATAGATGTATCTTTTAAAAAAAAAATCAAAAAAAGTATTTACTTATTTCAATTTACAGAGTACCTATCCAGAGCTCTATATGTCTACAGCGAAGCCGGGCTACTGAAACTCGTTCCCATAAGACATCCCCCTCTAACTACACCCCACAACTATATTTGGTCCACTTTTTCATATAACATTCTCATTTTTATTAACCATTTTCTAATATTTTCAATGAATATGTTTTGGTTTTACCCTTCTGCTTTTCTTCAGGAGGGAGGATTCCTTGCATCTGGAAAAAGCAGTGCTTGCCAACACTCACCTTTGTATTAATTAGATCCATTCACTTTGCCATAATTAAGATTGTATCAGCACTTCAGTTTACAAATCCCATTATTCCATAAGTGGAATTTAGCATCCCAATGTCGTTTTCATTCCAAAATGTAAAATGTACCTCCAAAGAGGCTAGATATTCAGACTTATACTGAAAGATTAAAGTTCTCCCATTTCCGAATATTTTTGCACCCTTCTTAGGAAAAAATGTTTTGATTTAATAAAATGAAAGGGTTCAGGCCTTAGTCCATAAAAAATGTAGTGTTTTTCTTTTTACTATTTAACTACTCCCTCAGGGAGCTGCACTGACCTAGGAAATAGTGTTTGCTCGGGCTATATTTCTCCATCAATTACGTAGTTACCTCTTCAGGTCACTGAAGAAAAGAATAATCTGTTTAAACACTAACAATTTTTAAATTACTACGGCACACAGTTACAGAGATTTACAATATAGAGTATCAGTCTCCCTGCGGAGCAGAAGAAAGTAAAGATCAAAAGTTGTGGCTTCTTACGTACATGAGCCAAGTATCATACACAGATAGTGATGTTAATTCCATATATTTTCTGCTGTGTAAAACTATTTCCCTTTAATGATGGGGAGAAGGATTTGTGTGTTGCAAGGACTCCCTTACTATGCTTGGTGGTCACCACATTGTGTTCTTTTGCATACAGCTACAACACTGCCAGTGGTTTAATGATTGTTCCTTTAGATACACCTCTACCCCGATACAACGCGACCCGATATAACACGAATTCGAATATAACGCGGTAAAGGAGTGCTCCAGGGGGGTGGGGCTGTGCACTCCGGTGGATCAAAGCAAGTTCGATATAACACGGTTTCACTTATAACGCAGTAAGATTTTTTGGCTCCCGAGGACAGCGTTATATCGAGGTAGAGGTATACCAAAAAACAGTGCAAGCTAGAATTTGCTTTCAGTTCATTTGTCTGTGGCTGAAACACTGTTGCAGGCCACCGATGCAGGTATAGGGTCACTGGAATGGAACCTGGAGTAGCAGGAGGGCCCAGGTTCCCCTACCAGCCACTAAGGAAGAGGTATCCTCAGGGCAGTGCATGAGGAGACTGCCTCAAACTGTTGGTATGGAAAGACTTTGATACCCTGGAAGGGGAAGACGATAGTGACCTGCTGGAAGGCCAAGTCACGAAGACAGAGCATCCTGAGTCACACAGCGTGCAGCAGAAGGGGGGGCACTGGACCTGGAAAGAGCTGATCCCTACAGCAGCCAGAAGCAGGCGCCAACTGCAGTGATTGGCCCTATGACAAACCCTTATTCAAGAGATTGCAACAGCTCCAAAGATGCCAGTCCAGTGCAAACACGACAGAACTGTATAATTACAGATGTTCCGAAGGATTCTCGTTATGGAGAGGCAATTTGTCAAAGCAAGGAAGAAAGGAATTAACTTGACTTCGGGAACCAGTAATGATTAGCCAGCTTTTCCCAGGAGGAACAAATGTGTGAGAGGTATTTCCCAAAAGACTACTATGAAGTGTCCAGAGCAGAACACAGGAAAGTCTGCTCAAGCTGAGGGACAACTCCATTCCTGTGTTTCAGAGACAATTCATAGACCGCTTCATCCTACTGAAACACAGAAAATAAAGCCTTAGTTTCATCCAGAGGCAAACAGAGGATTCAAGGAAAGGTTATCACTGGGAAGAAAGCCTGAAAGGGGTGAGATACTAGCAGGTCATACATTCTGTGGCTTCTACGGGCCAAGCTCATTGCACTCACCAGGGGCTCCTTGCATCCCTCCATTCTCCCTCACATGCTCCCTGTGCATCACCCTCTCATCTCCTCTTTCAGGGACTCTCTGCAACCCTCCCACCACCTCCCTCATGCCAGGTACTTCTGTGTATCCCCCTTTTCTCCCTCCCCCCAAACCATTTATCTCCCATTAACAAGGGATTTGTGGGCCCCCCTCAGACTCCTCATTCACCCCATCTTACCAGATGGGGCTCTGTGTCCCCATGTCCATCTCCCACTCTGCCACTGTCCCCCAATTCCCCTCCACCATGCCAGGGTCTGTGCGCTCCACCGTACCAGAGACGGATGCCATCGAGTTGAGTGTAAGACCTCACAAGCTCAGGCACAACTCCAGACTAAACACACCCAAAGGGGTTTAAGAACTATAAATGAGAAGACCATTTCTTGCCAGCAACTAATGCATCCAAGAGTGAGCCTATGCCTCTGCAAAGGAGAGATCAGAAAGAACTTGGAATTCCTGGAAACCCAATCTAGACCTGGATGATAAGACCAAAGACCAAATCATGAAGAACTGAACTGAAGGACACAGCTGAAACCTCTACTGTCTGACCCAACACCAGGGCAAGTAACAGGAGGCCTAGTC